ATAATATTAAAAAAGATTTCTTCATCTATCAACTAAAGTTACCGCCTGTTCGCACAACCTCGACAACACCTACAAATGTTAACTAGTCTACCAATACACATGTGATGAAATTTTACTCTTAGAGTTTGGCCAGTGGTGACACACTGCATTCCATTCCATAATATGGTGTCTAGGTGGACACGATTGGAGGATTCTAGACTGAAATGAAACACCTGTTGTTGAATTCTGTTTTCTAGTGGTTGTCTAACCCACCCAAGGCTCGAGAAGAATCCCAATATTTCCACCGAAATTCCACAGCTGAAAGATTGAAGCCTTACTACTGCTCAGAATGCAAGGTCAGAAAAAAGGAAACAGAAGGAAAAGAAATTTACGCATCTACCTTCCCACTACATTCATCTTATTAGGTTGACTCAAGTGAATATGTTAAGATAAATGGTGGCTTAACTAGTCTCATCAGTTTCACTTGCAGTTTGTCGTATAAGAACTATCTAATATCTCGGTGACAGCAGTCAGCATAAATAGGAGAAATATGAAAGAAACAACCTCCTTTAAATACATACCTAGGAAGCTTCATTTCAACTACAACCGGACGGAACTGATGAAGACATCAAAGCGAAGATCAGGAAGACAAAGCAAGCTTCCATTACTCTCAAGTCTGTATGGAGATCGACATCATTGCTCAGCATGAAAAATAAGATCCAGATTTTCAACTCCAATATGAAGTCAGTGCTACTCATTATGCGGATCAGAGAATTGGCGCTGAGTCACGAAAGCCACTTCGAACAAACTACAGACTCTCATTAACAGATGTCTTCGCTCAATACTACGCTCAAGATCGGCAACAGAGTGGGGTCTCTGGTAATCAGCGAACCAACCAAACAGGAACCGACTGTGCAACAAATCTGAAGGAAGGAAATGGGGGTGGATTGGTCATACTCTGAGAAAACAAACCATCAATTGACATCACACGCCAGACTATCACTCGAGTGTAACTCGAACGGGGAGCGGCGAGTTGGTCGTGAATGTGAGGGTGACATGCAGGAGGAGGTGATGGGAATAGAAGATGAAAGAATGTGGGCAGCTGTGGAGCTAGGTGAAAACTTTGGCAGAGGACCGAAAGCAATGGATATGTATGACTGAAGCCCTATATTCCTCTAGGAACTAAAGGAAATAATAATAATAACTATCTCGGTAAAATCATAATTTTTATGTGCTGCTTTGTGCGAGTGTGCCAGCGTAGTCACCTCGTAAGCTGGAAGTTCTGGTTACGACTTCTAGTGGGTTAATGGGTGTGTACTGATGAAGATTCACAAGCTTTCAGTCATTTCCTATTTCTCAGTATTTCTCTAACTGATATTAGCTTTTTCATATCTGGTAACTCCGAGGAAATATAGCATTCAGCATAAACTAAATAATCATGGTGATTTCATAACACCAGGAGATAAGTCGTAGTTGTTTCCACTTTTTACTGGTTGAACTCCATACGATTTACTTATCATTGGTTTTGTTATTTCCTTCATCGGGATCTTGACTACTCACCACTTGGCATGATATGAGCACTTCACACCTCCTCATAGAGAATTACAGGCAGATAGACCCCAAACTTATTGTTTTAAAATATTGGAACAAACACAGTCACGTCAGCAATATCTAAAATATGTGTAAACTAAAAGTGCGACCTAGAAAGATAATGGAAATAAGACATGTAAAAATCATATCCAGCCAAAATTTGTCAATAACTGAAGTTGAACAAGTCAAATGTTCCGATGTTATACCAGACACCAGTCTCAGATAGTAATGGCCTTATTTTGAACAATGTTTTTCGTGCAGTCTGGAGCTCTCAGTATATAAAACACTGTTGCACTTAATGAAATCCACAACAGTTGGTCTAAGCCACGTAGGAAGGTGTAGACTCCTGACTTGTTGGGTCCTCGGGACGGTAAAAATCTATGGTTGGAAACAATTGGTGACATGGCTCAAAATCGTTCTCAGTGGCGCAGATGCATCCACTCCTTGTAACTTATGATCTCCAATGAAACTGTTTTGTTTTTTTATTACTCCTTTGTCTCACACCTCTGCTCACTGTTTCTATTATGCTTTTCTTGTACTTTCTTCTCTTGCTTCGCGTGCTACACGGAGTGTGGCGACTTGAACTTCCGCACATTTGTGCAAAGTTCTATGTCGAAAACAGACAGACAGACAGTGGTCTTCTTAGTACATAGTTGGGGGGAAAATAGTTACAGAATTTTACAATGTTTACAATAATAATGACTAGTTAATTAATGGTAAATGGTAAACTTGATAAGCATAATGACAGCATTATAGTGATGTTAGAGAAAGCCTCTTGTTCACTGTTGTAAAGTAGGGTTATTAACATTCTACCTAACACTTCTTTACTTCACGGAATATACACATTGGGTCATAGGAGTTATTAAGATGAGAGTTGCAGTGAAGAAAATTTTGACGAAGTCATCATCTACACAGGATGTCTATTTTTGTTATTTCTACATTTCTAACCCCCAATTGCACAATGTCAATCATCTTAGTTATGATGATGCTACTTTGTTTGAGTTTTATCCGTCCCCCTGTTTATTATGACATTTCAATTCCTAATTGTAATTTTTATTAATTTTACCCTTAACCGGAAATTATTCTGGAACTTTCCCATCTATTTGTTATAAATACACGAATGTACAGCTTCGATGATAACTTCGTCGAAAAGAAAATTTTCTTTACTGCAGCTGTCTTCTTAATAACTTCTTTACTTATGCAAAACACCTGCAAAATTAGGTATAATTGAGTCCTACATCCTCTTTGAAGTTGCTGCTTGTCCTTCTGTAGAGATGCAATGTAAAAGCTATGAATCCAGAGGGTTCTCAGAGTCTGACAAAATTACTTTGACCAGTTAGTTGCATGAATTTCATAATGGTATCAACGAGTTGGCTTAAATACACACCGCTTATTCTACTGACAACTTTTAGTCTTCATCACAATATAACAGTACCTTTTTTAAACATTTCAGGAAAAACTAAGGGGGTGGGTGGGTTGACAAGTAAAATCGACTAAAAAGAAGAGGTTGAGTTATATCGGATTGTCTTAATTTCTTTTATAGAGTATTAGATGAAATATGTTCCTAGAAATTACCAGAATGTGGGACGATCAGGAAGGTTCAGTAGACAAATTTAGTGCAACGTAGTTTGAATTCGACTTAATAATGAGAATGAAACAGCTCGTATGAGTTTTGTTTATGTCTAAAAGTGAGAATAAATGTCTAACATTTGCAGTGATTTAACTTAATATTATATTAACAAGCATTACTACGTAATTTTTGATGAAAAACTATTTGTATTGAAAAAATCCTACTAGAAATTAATGGGTACGGAAACCAAATGGATCATCAACATACTTAATAAAATTGTTTTCATCAGAACAAAAGTTAATCATGCGAGAGCAAGGAAAATAGAGGAGAATGTACAGCGCTGTAAAGGACGCAAGCTTTAGTAAGTAGTGGAGGACTTTCCTTTTCATACAGTTTACTGCTTTCTTACAGAAAAGCAAGAATGCAACCAGTTAGCAACTTAGAGTTCAATTTACCTATTACTATTGTTTCCTTCAATTCCTAGAGGAACATATTATCCAGTCAGTGAATTAGGTCAGTGACAACACTTATTCATAAAAGAACTCAGTCTGCAGATTAATACACTTGGCTTGAAGTACTTCCCACCTTTTATATGCAGTGCAGAGTTAGTTAGCATATTGACTTTTTCTTAATTATAGACAGAATATTCAAATACTGTATTTGTACGTATTTGACTGATTTCTAGATAGCTTTCGTTCGAGAATCGTTATCATGTAGAGAATCTATGAAACTATTCAGCACAAGATAGTTGTGTCACTTCATTTAGGAATCTCGAGTAGTATGCACTCACGATACTACTTAGAATAGAACTTAGGACTGTCCGACTGCAAGGTCAGTCGATTATCATTCAGTAACTGGTTCGCAACCTGGTAGCTCATGAAAAATAACCAAGGATAACCGGTTAAATTTATAAGCCATGGTTTTTGTAGATGAGAGTCAGTTTAAGCGCCATAGCTATGTCATATTCTCTGTTCAAAAATTGACTAGTCATTGTCCACCTTCAGTTTGACTTATTTCTATGACAGTTCAACATTACACTTAACGGACCGATTGAAATGTGACTATTTGTTGAGTCATGAAGTTTAGTCATCTATGATTCAAGTGGTTAACCTAGTGGTAATTGGTTCTACCTTATGCCTTTTCTCACCTGGATTCATTAAACAGTACAAAGGGCAGACACGTGGATGTGAACTTTTAACTTCAAATAAAATATTCTTCTAATTGGAACACATGTACAATGATTATGAATGTTAATCAGGAGAAATGGAACTCGTTTTCTCTACTGCATGCTGGATTCATGAAAAATTTGCATCAACAGTCAGTCAGTCTCCAGTGTGTATGTGTGTGTGTGTGTGTGAAGCTACTACACTAGTTATATATGCCTATTTATATATGATCGCTGATGAAATTCTTACATAGATATCACGTGACTTTAATTGTCAGTTTAAATTTTTCACCGAATTCATTCATTCTAGCCTTATTGTGTATGTGCATAATAATACTAATAACAATAATAAGTGTATGTATATAAACTGGCAAACTATGCAGGATGGTTGAAAATTTGTTTTGTTCTTCTATTTTCTGATTGGTTAATTCTAACAGTACACACCCACAGTTTTCTGGATCACACAGATAATAATAATTTCAACCAATGGGCGTTTTTTTCTTCGTCAGCTAAATTTGAATACTGAGACATCTCTCTATATATAATTTAAAGTACCGAAGGAGTTAGAGAATTCAAAAAACAAAAAATAACAACGATACTCACGCATCACTAAAAACTGTATTATTCTTCTGAACATTATTTTTTGTTTGGTTTTCTTTTGGTGAAGTACATTTAAACAAAATCATATTGAATAAAATGCGATACAAAAGTTTACAAAAAAGTCAGACATACTGTTCTGTCATCTCATCACTTCAGTTGATTTCATCTTTGATGTTGGTCATACATCTAGCCAGTCAAACAACAGGATACAGTAAGTAAACCTTATCAATATTTATTGAACATTTGTTTATATTTGTAGATATATTTTTTGTAATACTGTTGTCTATAAGATTGTCTGTTACCGCCTTACTTTGATAAATATATATTCCTTTTGGATACAAAGCATGGGTTTGAGCTTTTGGATAGCTAGCGCCTCGGCTATACCCAGATGTCTTGATTTCACTCGTGAACACTACCCAGCCGGGTTAGTAAAAGGAGACCAGAAGTGTGTATGCAGTTCAGTGACAGAACATCTGATCAATTCAGGACATTCAGTGCCTTTCTAAAAATCCTTCAAAGTAATATACATGATTCAATCAAATCTATCAAAGGGAGTGAAATCAAGACATCTGGGTATAGCTGAGGCGCTAGCTACCCAAAAGCTCAAACCCACGCTTTGTATGCAAAAGAAATACGTCCCACCCCTGTACCTGCCATGGCCATCATAAACAGGTAATTTTTTAGTAATTACCATCCCATCGCCTTTCTTACCTAAACTTCCTGTTTATTCTTGTTATTTTAAGTTTTTCTTAATCCCTGTTTACACTATCATATTTTCATATTCGAACTCCCTGTTTATTTTGTCATTTTACTATTTCTACATTTCTAACCCCCAATTGCACAAATGTCAATTTTCTTAGTTATTATGACGCTACTTTGTTTGAGTTTTATCCATCCCCCTGTTTATTATGGCATTCTAATTCCTAATTTTAATTTTGATTAATTTTACCCTCAACCGGAAATTATTCTGGAACTTGCCCATCCATTTGATATAAATACATGAATGTACAGCCTCGATGATGACTTCGTCGAAGAGAAAATTTTCTTCGCTGCAATTGTCTTCTAAATGTATATTCATAAGATGACTGTTATATATTTTGGCTTATCAGCTGTGTGTTAATGGATTAGCTTGAAGCTTAGAAACGAGAAAAAAACTTATTATTACTATGTACCAATGTAGATTCTGACTGTTATGAAGGCAAGTGTGTCATTTATACCCTGCGTATTTATTTGTTTGTTGGTATCTTATGACGCTATTTGATGAGTTGTGGCGCATCGGGGTAGCTACTGGACTCTCAACCAATGAATCTGTGATTCAGGATCCACTCGAACAAGACTTTGTAAATCACTTATGATAGAGCTGAAATTTTTATTTTATTGGAAAACTGAGAAAACAAAACTGTTACACAATCAACAGTGGCCGTATATGATTACATAGAAAATGAAATTTGTCAAGTTCCCTTTGTAGATTAGCTTAATTCATAAGATAATTGATGCTCCACTATTATCATATGAAGGAAATCAGTATGCGGTGATTACTGCTCACACAGTTATTAGGTATTGTAGAACTGGAACGCTTATGTGAACACTAGCCAGACTATTTCTGATGCAGGGAAACAGTGTTTATAAGAAGTAAATTACAGTTAGATACACAGCTTGTTTCGTTTTTCTGTATTATATCTACCTGGATTTTATTGAGATTTATGAATAACGTCACTATCCTATCTATAAAACTTCTATGTAACTACAATGTGAAACATTCAGTACACAGTTTGAAGAAAGAAAGAACCAACATATATATTTACAGGACAGTACGAACTCATTTTACTCCGTGGATTCTTTTCAACTGAGTACATCCTAAACAATATCAAAATGTAAGCTACAAAATTGTATGAACATACTTTTCTCATAGTGATGTTGAGTTATGAATAGAAAATTATTATTTTTTTATTTTTACTTTATTTCTTTTTTCCCTTTTTACGTTCCTAGTGGAATATGGGGCTTCAAGCTAGAGGCTTGAAGTTTTGGTAGCAGTAGTATTTATTTTTACGGGATGAAATTGCCAGCCTTATGCTCAACTTTTTCTCTTTACCAGTCTTATTACTGGCTTAGCGAAGTAAAGGAGTTCGTTGGCCGGGGATAAAACCCTGGAGCCACCTGCGTGGTTGGCGAGCATTCTACCACTGTGTCATCGACACACACACAAAGTGTAAGTGACATAATTTCAGATGATGATGAATCATCACAGCTTTTGCTCAATCGGTTACAAACGCAACCTGATCGAAACGCTCCTCAGGAGAGCTAGGGTGTTATGTTCGGAAAATAAGACCGAATAGGAATTCATGATTTTTGAAAAGAACTTCAATGAGAATGGATGCCCCCGAAAGTTTTACTGAAATAAGGTAGTGGAAAAAACCCCACCTAGATTGAAACCAAAAATCCATATACTACAAGAAGAGAATAAGAATAAAGGATGCATTGAAGAGAACAATCCTGTCTACAGAGTGATTCCATTTTAAAACACGGTATACTAGTTAAATAAGTCAAAACTGAACAAGTATTCTGCTTACATCGACTCCAACTTCATTTGCCGATTCACTTCCGCTTATGACAGCAACTAAGTGGACATGGTAGTGAGGAGATTGTCTACCATATTTTCTGGGTGTATCTCTAAAAGTCTCTTTAAGAAAGGCGGCAAAGTGATCTCAAATGCAGTTGCTAGACACCAATTGACGCGGGACATACAGTGGACATTAGTACTGCTTTCAATATAATCAATATACAAATCAAATAAAACCCTAATTAATTCGTTTCAAAGAAGTCATTGGTGTCAAACGAATTTAACCCAACATATATGTACAAAAAGATAGTATGACTAATCGTTCATTACCCTGGTAACTACATTTGTCTTGCTCATGTGTTTTTACATGTTTCATCTGTTGTGTAACATTTTATTTCATTTGATTTCATTCACTGAATTGAATTCACAATTACATTTCTAAATTGACTTGATTGTCTGTCTGTCTGTCTTATAATTTTAATTTTCGTATTCACCCCCCCCTACCCTCTTTGACCTTTCATCATTTTATGAAGTAATTCATTTTGTTCGATTTTATATTCTGCCTTTGGTCATTCTTTGCTTCTAATCTGAACCTGAATTCTGATCGCGCCTCCTGTCTAATTTGATGTTAAACAGATAACCTTTTGACACTGAATAATTTGTTCACTTACATCATTCTGAATTATGTCACTTATACTTTTATCCATAACTCAGGATGACTATGAGAAAAGTTTGTTCATGCAGTTTTGTAACGTATATTTTCAAAGTGTTTAGGATATGCTCAATTGAAAAGAATCCATAAAGTAAAACGAGTTCGTATTATCCCGTAAATATGTTGGTTCGTTCTTTGTTCAGACTAACCAAAGGAACTAGATACATGAAATTTAGTGCAGTAATTGAATCATTGGTAAAAGCAGAACTGGAAAGGTGAATTATTACCTAAGAATTTGATTGATGTTGGCGTCATAAAAATTTTTCATGTCATAGTTACAGCAATTTCATCTGTAATAGTACGGCATTATTTTAGAAAAGAAAAACACTGCATTAAGCTAAATTCTTGCAGGAGAGAATCCTACTCTTTAGTAAGACATTCCCTTAGGTTCCAGGGGAACATAGGGCTTCGACAACACATCTCGCCTTTGTTCTGTTTTCTGCTATCCTTGTCAGCTGAGTCCACGACTGCCCAAACTCTCTCATCTTCTTCTCGCCACACTATCTCCTTCATTTCACCTCGTACCGGCAACCTATTCATCACTTCCACTCAGATTCCACTCGAGCGACGACCTACAGTGCGCGCGATGTTATTCAACGGCCTCTTCAACGTTTACCCAATCCATCTCCATTTTCTCCTACATGTCTGTCGGGCGATCGGCTCTTGGTTGGTTATTGCATTGCAGAGTGTCTTGTTGCTAATTTTTTTCTTTTTCCTCAGTATAAGCGAAGAACAGATGTTGATAAAGGTCTGTGGTAGTCTCTTGGAAACGCTTTTCGTGACAGGCAGTGCAAGCTTCTGACCATACAGAAGAAATGAATATTGTTCTTGATACTGGGTGATTGCAGAAGATTTCCAAACTGGTTTCAAGTTGATGAATGTGTATCGTGCCTTTCCGATTCTGGCTGGCTTTGTTTGACATCTTCATGCGTTCCGCAGGATGTGGTTGAAACGATGCTTCCTGGTCAGATAAGTGAAGGAGGTCACCTCTTTCAAATCTCTCCCGTTAATGGTGATTGGTGCTGGTTGTTGTTGAGGTTCATTGGTTATCTTCACCACCTCACTGTTCTCTGACTGCCTCTTCAGCAAGTTTGTTGGTTTTCACCTGCAAGTCTTCGAGCTTGTGTGACATTAAACATAAACCATCCACACACGAAATCCAGATCTTCTAGAGTCTTATTATCTGTGGTCCAGCGTATTCCTATCTCCTTGCTTCCAATGCACAGTCTGACGCATAATCCAGTTAGTCCACTACAATTAGTAATATCCTTGATGAAAGTTGAAAACTACACAAAGTTTTATTTTTTGTCATTAGATTACTTTTTAGGGTACATATTACTTGAAAAGTGATCACTGTTTCACCTTTCTTTCTTCTGCTTTTAAAATCTATTTATACAGTGTTGTACAACAATGGAGTTTTATTGAAGGGATTGAAATTTTCTGAGCCATGTCCTGAACAGAATTACAAGTTTCATAATCGTAAGTTAAAGATTATTTCAGTAAAAGTTTATAATTAAATTTTCAATATGAACTATATCTAAAAATGAAGTATAGAAATAACTATTTCGAAAGTTTGTTTATGGAATAAACTACAGTTCTTACCAACTAAAAAATTGTAAAAGAATTGGATTCCAAATCAACCTCGCCTAGTTAACTGGCTCTCTAGGATTCTAGCCGGTCCCAAGCCCACCACCGGGTTGGACGTGGGCTAGCAACCCAACACCATTAAATCTTTCAAACCTCTAGAGAAACTTCAACACAAAGAAAAAATACTAAAATACAAAAACTTCAAATAACAACAATCTTATTCTTCACTCGAATCGGAGAGGCAAAGTGACACGGGTTGGTGAAAGCCTTCAAGAAGCCAGTCATCCAACCGATGTGTCTTCTGTCGATGAAAGCAAGAGATTTAGAATGTACGAGACTGAGAAGGCTACCCAGTTAGCCAAAGAGATGCGAAGATATAGCTTAGAAGTACTGGATATCCGCTAAGGCAGATAGAATGGATGTGAATTGACAAGATTGTCAACAGGGGATTCCGAATCAAGACCAACTTTACCTGAGTATCATCATACGACCTAGTAAATTTAATTATTCTCTGTCTCATAAATATTTTGAATTCTTACGCTGGTATCTCTGGTCGAGGTGACTAGAATATGTTTTACGCATGACAAACCACTGCATTCTTCGACGATCAGTTTTAACTTATATTTATGATTAGATTAGAAAAGAGTTAGGGTTGATCAAATTAAAACAAGACTCCAGTTTATCAAAAGTTTGACGATTGGTCTAAATCGTATAAATAATTGACTACTTTCAGGCTGGAGTTTTCAGAATGCTGAGAATCGATAGCTGGAGCTTCTTGTTGACGTAGCTCGGAATTGTTCTCATTGGTGCAGATGTATTTATTCTGTACGATTCTCGTTTCTCAATTTCATCACAATTTGAAGACAGTGACATTCGTCGTCAGTATTCAACAGTTTAGTGACGATCTATCAGTTTTTCTATTGAAAATCCCTATATTTTTTGATGGCATCAATCGACAAGTCATAGCAGTGAATGTAGTGTAGTGTCTGTCGCTTTTGTTTTCAAATAGCTAGATGGATAATCTGTGAATCAGCAGCTTGAATTCGTCTGATGTTAATCCATTATGTGTGTATATGATGCGTCGTTTCAGATCCAAGACTGTTCCATTCAGCTCTGCCAGCAAAAAGATAATATGATTTTATTCTGATTCTCAAGACAGTTTAACCACTTATTTTATATTAGGTGGAGAGCAGTTTGATCTTGCTTTAAAACCTTTCAGTATTGTCGACCCACAATCTCAAGGGAAGTTAGAAGATTTACAGAATTACTTTCATTTCGGTTGCTTTATCGAGTTTATAACTTTTCAGAAGTTGCTAGTGACTGATTTCCACTTGAATGACTCGAAGTTTTAGAAGGTAGGCTTAACGTGCAGGGTCACCGTAATCCATTGCATAAATGGTCTTTCGCTGACAGAATTAAATTATAGTCTTCATAAGCTGCGGATTGGAGGAATTGAAATTCACTTGCTGAATTGCTAGGAGGTTCGCGTCAAATATGATGTCCACAGCCTAAATCAATCTATACGAATAAGACAATTTATAGAGTAGAGTGAGAATTTCGGGCAAAGTTAAACTTTCGACACCACTAGCAACCAATCAGCAAACGACCTCCTTCATTTTCCAAGAAGCAATATCTCTGCAATGCTGGTACCATTGAACTGTTGAGACGAGGCTATTCTCCGTCTCAGCAGCTGCGGCTCTCACTGGCTGTTTCAACACCCAGTAGTTGCAGATACACAAAATTTGCGTCAAGGAGAGGTGTAACCTTGCAAAAAAGTTCCTACGAAATATTAAAATTAACAGCTGACCCTCTCTAATGCTAACTCGCTTCAAGCACATTGCACAACAATTAACAAATGTACAGTTGACCTGCTATAGCTTTTTAAAGTCATGACACCACCACGCGTACAAGTTCGCTCCTTCCGGAGCAACCCTAAATCCAGGCAATACTGGAAAACACTGTCCTTCTCGAATTGCAACCGTAACTTCGTAAAGGCACGCACTTGAAATGAATCAAGCGCTATACAACATTGAACTAACGCTCGTGAATCTCATGGATAATTCGATGTCGTTTGCTGATTGCTAGTTAGTGGTGCTTAAAGTTTAGCTTGGTTGAATTTTGCACACCGACCTATATTTTGTGTCATATCTACCATGGAATAAATAAGCTGGAGACTAGCAGTCTCACTGAAGAGTGAATATTTCCAAAGAGAAGACGGCTGAAGTTAGTAGGAGGGGACACTCACAAAAGGATAGGATACATTGACTTCTGAATCTCCATTTAAACACTACAAAGTTAATAAAATAGGCTACTGACCTGGTCTCAATCCCACTTCAATCACTGCTGACCTACATCGAAATGCTTCAAAAATTTTGGTAGAACCTGAGGTTTGTTTCGGCTGCTTAACATCACTTCACAAAATTAAGGCTGTTTTGGTTCATTTTTACTTGTAATCACCATTTTTTAAAACTTATATTAGATATTTGTAGCAATTTATGACAGATATTTAATTATTTGGTAGATATATGGTACGATTCAGTGTGCCAATACCTTAGCGTGGTCAGATAATGTAACCTTTAGTCAAGTCGTATGATCATATCCATTATAGTTACCCACATTATATACATACAAACAAACAAACAAACATATTATAGACAAAATAATTAAGACACACCTTTTTTCGAATAAAATAGAATTATGAATTCAATTCACTAACATAATGGTGTACATTTTTCAAATAAGAAGTGAAGTCAAAGTTCACTTATTTATCACATTATAAACAAACATCTACCTCATTAGGTTAAATTAGTGGATTCAAATTAAACATTAAGATTATAATACTAAGTGTATATATGCATATATATAAATGCGACACGTATTTTTGGATGTTTTATTCGTGGAAATTCGATACAACGCAGAGTGAATTTTTCCACGATAGATATCACTTAGAGAACCACTGAGAACACGAAAGCACTAGACAGCTATTTTGCTGTACATTGGAGATCTTCGTCAATGTGCTCTCACCAACCCCAAGTGGGTTAAATCTTGGATATTTAGGTTACTATTTGTTCACTTGTGACTCTAAAAATCATGTTCATTCTGTAATGGATGATCTATGTGTACACGTCTGTGAAGTTATAGACTGTAATGAAACTACTGTCTAGTAATTCCTGGTTTCGAATAGTGGTCTCAAATCATCGAAAGTACCCATTCAGTTATGAAGAAAACGTAACTTCAACTGTTAGTTTTACTTCCAAAGCCACTACTAAGTAATTATATCACGCTTATTACTCAATAATGGACTACTATACATTTTTGATAAATATAAATACGACTCTACAGCCTGTGAATATGATTTCGTCGATAAATAAAGAATTTTCTTCGCAGAATTGTATTTTATTTTCTTCATGATTGTACTTCCTGACGAAATCTACCTTGAAGCTGAGATTCACACAAAGATCTCAGCAATTTAACTTCATTCTTGAAGCAATACCACTGAAGTCGCGAGATACTTGAGGATTGTTTCATGTTAAAGATGAACACAGAAGTATTCGGGTTCAGTTTTGCTACAGTTGAAATGAATGAATATGAAATATGAGCATGTAATGACTCAGAATATTCAAACCATGTGTCAATCATAATTTTTTCCTTCACATTCCCCAGTGGACATAGGGCTTCAAGCTAATGGCTCGAAGTTTGTGTAGCAGCGTTTCCAGTTTTACAGGATGGAGTTGCTAGCCTCCCACACGCCCAACCTTTCCTCTTTCCCAGCATTATTTCTGGCTTAGCGAGGTAAAGGGGTGCGTCAGCCTGGAATCGAACCTTGGACTATGTGCATAGTTGGCGAGCGTCCTAACCGCTATGCCACCGAAGCACGTCAATCATAATATGTCTGTGAAAATTCAGAACACCACTTAATTTACTTTCATTGTATAACACTTTATGGGATTCCGCTAGACGTCAGCATGGCCAAAAGCTTTTAATCTCTACATTTTCTTCTCTTGATTTAAACCAGTAACTGTAAAATAAAAAAAACTTTCACTTATCAAATAGTGAGCAGTATGGCAACTAATTCCTCACTGACGCACTTCTAAACCTTTCTTAACCGACAGGAAGTCAGTAAAGAAGGAGGTTTGGGTGTGAGACTGGCAGCCCTCATCCGACAAAAACACAGGAATCTCAAAGTTTAGGTTCAAAACCCTATGTTGCACTCATAACTCAAAAAAAAATGAAGGAAATTATGTGTGATAAAGTTCGCTGCTTTACAGCGAAGATGATTCAGGTCACTTCTTTAATGAATACCATTTACTCTATCCTCGAGATCAGGGAAAGTTGCTGCATTTACTAAATGAAGAAAGAATTATACTGGTTGGTCATTAGGGTGTTAGGTTTGCTATGTATCAAATCGTTACTGTTCATGCTGAACAAATTCTATGACCCAGGTTTACAAGTTATGTGATTCATCATTACAGTACATTTTAAAATGATGTTAGATGATAGGAAGCGGTGCACAGGCAAACATAGATCAATATTTCCTGTTTATGGTTACTTGTCAACAAGACGTACCTCCAACTTTGAAGAAAATAAAGTTGAAATTCACATCATACAGTGTTGAAGTTGAAGAAGTTACTACTGAGCTACTAGGGCTTATGGCTAACCTCCAGTAGGCTGTAACCAATGCCATATGTCTACTGCTCAGTGCTGACGTTCGAATCTGCCAGGAAGTTTTTTTTTTGAGTTTTCAGACATTTCTAACTGATGAGTGTTGGAAAAACACGAAACCCACGTCCATATATTTTTGCTGATTGCCTCCATCCAGCTAATATCAAAGAGTTAACTGTCAGATATACCTCATCACTGAAGTGTAGTGAATTTTTTGTATGATAAATATA